AAGTACTGCAACCGGAAGGTTGTCGAGAATCCTGTGCATCAACTCCATATAATATAGTATAAACATTCACCATAATAATACGAGCAGTAAAAGAAGTGAAAACAATCATTAAAGAAATAAAGGCTAAAAATTACATAAAACATCTCCAAAAAGAAAAAGGAACAAGAAAATATGAATCCTAGGCATCACATTTAGTACTTACATATTAACTCGATATTCATCATCAATTTTTTCCTTGAAATTCTTTGCAGATTTGGCATCAAGTTTTTTTCGACAGGCTACTTTGCAAGGCTGATCCTCCCTCATTTCAAACTAAAGAAAAAAAATGATAAACATGAAATGTGATTGAAGATATAATCTATAGAACTTTTAATAGAAAACCACTTGTCACCGACAGCATATAAATACAAAAGGTACAGATGCTTACAGTGTAGACAGAATTCTCTATACGGTCACCACGTAACACCTCCCCTAAATTTTCAGCATTGTTCAGAATCTTGGGTGGTTTACAGTAGTTCAAGTAGTAATAGTCATATGGAAGTTGAGTCTTTGTAGATGACAATTTGTTCACTTTTACATAAAGGGGATCACCCTGTTCAGAATCAGAAAAAGGACAATCTAAGACTTAATACAAATACAATCATACAAATAATAACAATAAAGGAGATAAAAGCCATGACAAAAAAGATCTTGAACAAAATTCAGAATCAGAATAATATCATCTGAATATTCTCTCCACCAATCCCTTGCCTTCAAAATTAGGAAACGGAAAAATATTTTCAAGAAAAGTAACATGTGCCCTTGAGGACCCTAAAGAGAAATGCAAAACAGCATTGCATACTTACCAACATCAGATCATACAAACAAATAGCCCGGGTGCCACATAAAATTAACACCGAGTATGCTTTTATGATTTTAACTCTATAGTCAATGATCTCTTGAAACTTGGAAAATTATTGTATTATCTTCATAGTTTTGGATGTTCATTGAATTTAAGGAAATAAATTGCAAGAAACACATCCTTAATTTCAGAAGATTTTAAGAAACAGAAAAAGTAAGATGCTGAGAAAGAATGAAGTAGCCTTAATTTCTTCACACCGATGATCATTAGAGAGTAGCTGAGAGCTCTATCATCCCTCAAACACCAAAAGCCCCCAGGATCGAAGGGCTAAGTTATAAGCTTTATTAAAAATTAACCATGCATAACAGTAAAGATACTATGAGCCTAAAACTAGATCACTTCAAGGATCAGCAAACAGGTGTTTGCTATTCACATTACACCATAATCAGTAAACACGGTCCTTCTGGAATTAAACATCTTTGCAAGTCAAATATGATGATTCAACGAGCATAAATAATTAACTCAGACAGGTCAGCTTGTGGTTACATTCCATTCTTTAAAAGCTTGCACCAAAGAACATTACAAATTCCAGCTGCCGGTTACAATTTGAACTTTCTATCAATTGTTGAGCAAAATATGAATATCCCAGCGTTAAGTTTCAAAAACAGCATTAATATTCAAGTACCCGTGTCTGACATGCTGCATGGGTAGGTATGACCTCCAAACATGGACTGACACCTGAAATTTTTAAATTTTCATATAATTTAATTATTTTCTTTATATTTTTTATTGACGATCTAACTTTGCCACCTAAAATTTTATAATTTCGTACCTTAAATTTACAATATAAGTTACTAAATATAAAGTTCCTCCTGACATAAAATCATGTGCCGTGTCTTCAAAATCCATCAAATACATGAAAACTAGAAAAATCAGACTATGCCCGTGTCGGACTTACCATATTCAACTTAACAAATCCGAGTCCGAATAACATAGGTAGAAAATGTTGTAAGCTTACAGCATACTAGTACACCATTCAGAACCAAATCCAAACAAGCAACGCAATCACCATTAAAACGAAACTAAAATCAAATCCATTTAAAAAAAAAAAGAATGAAACCCCAAAAGGAGAAAGAACACAACTACAGATCTAAAGAGAAACGAATACACCTACACATCGATCAACACTTAAACCCTAGATCCAAGTCCAATATCCCATAAAAAAACAAAAATTCACCCATGAATCATCACTAACATTAAAGATAAAACACAAAAAAAGAAAAACCCAGAGCGAGATAGAGGAAAAAAGTACCCTTTGAAAATCACGAGGGGCTACACCCGGAGGTAGAAGGAATGAGCAGTGCATAGCAGCAGCAGAAAAGTGAAGAACAGAGTCTTCTTCTTTGTACCCATTTCTCTTCTGCAACAGATAGATTGAAAGAGAAATCCTAGAAGAGAGTTGACAGATTTTGGGATAGACAATATATGTGACACAAACACGGTTAATTGCATTAGAGGTCCTCCTACAATTGATCTTTGAACTTTAAAACATTCAAATTAGGTGACCAAATTTAAAAAATTGTTGGATTATCTAAACGAAATAAAGTAATAGTTGGGACACAAAAAGTGTAGTTTACCCTAAATATAATCCATGAACACTGGGTCGGGTCTTAGTCAACGATCCAGTGAAGTGGTGAACGGTGCCGCTTCTCCAAAATATTAAATCTTTCGGAAATCAATCCACCATGGATAAACTCAGGGAAAATGAAGAGAAGTTCAATGGAAATCGAAGGAGCATATGGTTCAAAATTGGCGCTAAAACCAGGCTTGAAGACCATATTCGGAAGAGGTTTAGGATTCAACAACGGTGACCGGACCGTCTCTCGCCGTCACGTTGAACTCGAGCTCGAAACTCCGGTCGATAAAACCGGCGGGACCCAAATGATCCCATGGTTTCATTTGAAGTTATTGGAAAGAACCCGGTTTGGGTACGGAGCAGAACGAACGGAGAGATTAAGGTTTATAAAAGTTCCGATAAAGGTCAGCTGGAAAATGGCGATTGGTTCTGCGTTTCGGGTCGGATTCCTGTTTGGTTTGTAGTGAAGAAAATTGAAGAAAATGAAAAACAAGAAGAAGATAGAGATTTGGGGAGTGGGAGTGGAGCAGAGAGTGTTGATGTTGAACATATCGATCCAGTTAAAGGTACAATTTGCTTCTTACTTATTATTTTTGTTAGATTGAATTTTTTTTTGGTTACTCTGAAAATGAAAATCCTGGAAAAATTAACCAATTACTTACACTACTTTTAACTGATTTGAACTTTATTCATTTTTAGTCTGATAGTGAATCAGTAAATGCTGATTTTCGTTTTCTTGTAATTTGTAATTATGAGTTTGAAGTGCTAAGAATCTCTCTTATTTCTGAAATTTGTTAGATTAAATTTGTGTTTGGTTGCTGAGAAGTGGGAAATCCACTAAATTAATCTATTAGCTAATTTTATTCTTATCTGATTTGTAGCATTATGATTTGAAAGTTTCAATTTGTAGTTGATTAATGAATTGGAGAATGCAGAATTCGGTTTTCTTGTGATTGGGCATGAGTTTGATCAATACCCTAATCAAAGGATCCCTAATATAAAGAACTGGGACTGGTTTCTGGAGGAACGTGTAAAGGGTAGCGATCATGAAGATGACGAGGATGAAGCTTTCGATGGAAGGAGGAAAAGTCAGGGAGAAAGAGAAAGGAAGGAGAAAACGCTGATGATGACTGGACTGGTGAGAGCGAGGGCGATATCGAGGAGGTTGCATTGACAGGAAAAAAGTCCGGAGAGGGAATTATTCTACAAGATCAAAGGACCGTGATAAGTCAAAAAAGGATGGTGGAAAAAGGAAAATTATGCGCCAACAAAATCGGTTGCTGCAGGGGAAGAAGGTGGTGTTGACGACGATGATGAAACGCTTGGTGGATTTATCGTGGAGGATGATGATGCGGAGGTGGAAGAAGAAAGCGAATTGGATGATCATATATCTTTAGTAGTTAGTTAACCTGTTTTAGCTAGCATGACGTCGAAGTTTGATATACTAATTATATTAATTATACATTAAATATATTTTTTTCTAAAAAGTTAGATAATGTAATAATTAAAAATATTTTTATGAATTTTTATTTAATATTTATAATTTAATATTAAAGTTTAACTGTTGAGAAAAAAACATATATCACATGATATTGGTGAAATGTGCATCCAAGTAATTTATATTCCTTCATCAAATATTGTAATCTACATTCCTGCTAAACAGACAAAACAAGGTAATATAACATTCCCATGACAATGTTATATTCCAGTAATCTTATTCCTCCCACAACTTTAACAAAAAAATGCTACTATTTAGAAAAGAGTATTCCCTAGTAATAATTCTTTCTGTGAACCAAACACGGAAATACAATTCCGAAAGATTATTCCTCTTGATAATGATCTTTTTCTTGAACCAAACGGCCCCTAAGATGTAAGGTGTAGTACTGGTATCATATTGAGGTTTAACGTTCTTCTTTAATTAAGAATATTGATATTAACTTTTTTAAAAAGAAATCATTAATTTTATTCAAAATAGAAAACGGCCAAATGATAAAAAACGTGTCAGAAGACAAAAAACATATCATACATGCAGACTTGAAAATAAAAAACAAGAGAAAATAAAAAGACAATAAAGAATACCGACGGTCGACAATCAACATTAAAGTTGATGTCGCTGTCGATCAACAAAGATCAACAAAGACAAAAGAAGAAGAGATAATTAATACAAAGAAGATAATTTTTTACTATCATGACACCTTCAATGTGTTTGGTAATTTATAGATCTGAATTAATTATCAATTAGTATTTTAATAAATAAGAAATCAAGTCTTTTAAAATTCGAATTCAATATTATATTAGACTGAAATGATCACTTAGGAATCTATTTTAAGTTATTTGTTTCAAACGCATATATTTCTTTGTGAAACCACCCAAAAGATACGCAACAGAAATCTGTGATGGACCCTTTTTTCATATAAAATCATACGTTTTATCTCCATTTTGTTCCCTCCCACGTAACAGAGGACAAACCAAAACAAAATCTCTAGAAAACCATCCTGCCGACATCGCCTCCGATATTAAACCATGACGGAAGATTGCGCGGCGTGTAAATACCAACATCGGCGGTGCACTGCCGGCTGCATTTTCGCCCCCTATTTCCCCCACGACCGCGAACAACAGTTCGAAAATGTGCGTAAATATTTCCCAATACACAAAGTTGCGCAGACCATTATAAACCTAGATCGTTCCAAGGTAGATATCGCAATGCGAAACATCATCGTTCAATCCGATATGCGAGCCAAAGACCCTGTCGGTGGTTGTTATCGGATCATACAAGAACTCGAACGTGAAATAGAGTGTAAGCAAGCTGAACTTGACCTTGTTTATAATACAATCGTCATTTGCCGAGCACAGGGAGATGGTGGTTTTCAAATGCAAAAATCAGCTGCTGGTGATCATTGTTAGATAACTTAAGAAAAATGATCGGATCGAATTTGAGTTCGAGTTTAAAACTGAAAAGTGTGTCGTGTTTGAAACAATATCCACTTTTCCAAATCTCTTCTTTTTCTTCCTCATTTCTGGATTGTACGCCAGTTTTTGACCTGTATGCATGCAAAAGAGTATATTTTCTTATCTATATATTTGGACTGTAACCTGCTCTTCGGTATTCAAGATTTAAATTTTTGGATGTTTCGAGTTATTTTATTCTCGTATTTGAGTCGTTTCGTGTTAAAACTAAGGGTAAAATATATAAATGGTCCCTGACTATAAGATATTATTTTGTTGAGTCATCAACTATTAAAAGTTATAAAATGATTTCTCGATGATAGAGTGTTGCTTTGTTGAGTCCCTTGACTATTGAAATATATATATAAAAAATTAACGCTCATTTGAGCTGAACGTTAACATGCCGACTGAGATATGATAGTCGTTTGAGATTATAAGATCATGTTTTATCTTATCTCAGACAGCAGGTTAAAATCCAGTTCAGATCGTAGTCAATTCTTTAATGGAAAAAGACGAGTTCGGAACATATGAATAGTCGGGTTATCATTTTGTAATTTTTAATAGTCGGGGGACTCAACAAAATAACACCTTATAGTCGAAAGACCATTTTGTAACTTTTAATAGCCAAGAAATTTAATAAAATAATATTTTATAATCATGGATCATTTCGTAACTTTTAATAATTGAGAAATTTATTGTTACGAAACCGATTTTCAAGTTTGGATTGAATTGATAGGTCCAATGGGGATGCATTGAAATAATACAGTGAAAGAATAATGACTAAATTGCATGTATCCTATGTCAAATAATACGAATATAGACTATAGTATAAATGTACGGATATTTAAAAACTACATGATATGAATGATTAACGTGTTTTAGCTTGTATAAATTATTGAATTATAAAACTATGTAATTTGAGGAGTAATTATAAACAATAGTTTCATTATAAATGTCATCGTCCTATTAAGTCTAGTCGAATTAAAATTTTTTGAGTCATTCGAATGAACGAGTCTTATTTTTAAAAATTATTTGAAATTTTCTTCGGCTCGAATTATTCGATTTTTTTAATTTAATTGTAAATATTTATAATATTATGATGCTATTTAATTTTAATTTAAATGATTCTTTATAATCATATACAACACATATATATATATTTCATATTATTTTCATATATAATATACATATATCATTTGGGAGTTGAAAGATTTGATTCAAACTTAAAAATCAATCCAATAATTACTAAAAATTTTGAGATATTCAAGTTCTACTTTATAACTCGACTCAGATTTAAAAAAATTTCGAGTCAAGTTTTGCCGACCCCTAGTTCCTTATACAGATTATTACATGAAGTTCTCAATTTTTTAAAAGTGCGAGTTTCGCCGGGGAAAGCAAGCTAGTCAGAAAGGATGGAAACCCAAATAGAAAGCAAATAGAAAGCAGTAATGATTTGAAGAACAATTTATACTACATACTACTACAAACTGTTCTATACCAAATTCCAACAGTGTGTCATTGCCTCATTGGGATGCAATGCTCGACTCGAACAAAGAAACGATCAGAGTACACTCAGGCCGATCGCTAAGCATTAACGAATCCAGTCCTTGATGTTTTGTTGCAAGTCGATATCAAAGGACCAATATAAGACTGGATCGTAGATTTTACTCCTACGAGAAACTACTTAAAGAGTACAGTCCTTGAATAGCGTACATAAAATAGCAGGCCAAGCCTACATCATAATTGAGCAAAGTAAAGAATGTTTAGAGTAGAGACGATACGAAATAAAAAATTCCGTACCGTATCTTCGTCCAGAAATATTCTACACCATGATTTCGTCTTGTCCTTCGTGTATTCTTATAGGTCTGATGTCTGATCCTCTTTCTACATTCTCAATCTCAGTCGATTTTCACGGAAGAATATATCTTGCGAACAAACCAGAAGCAAGCATAGAAGCCGATTGTCCCAGTCAGGACAAAGAAAGCATATGAAACAATTACCATGTATCCGAAGTAAAGGATGCCTGAAACCAGCTTAGTGATCTCCAATTTGGTAAAGAAGTAGAAAACCGAGTAAAGGAAAAGGTAAAGAGCAGAGGAACCAGCAGTCAAGTAAGATCTCCACCACCAACGATAGTCTTCACTGCACAACTGGAAGTAGCAAAGCACGATTGTTATCTCAGCACAAGTGATTATTAGAATAACGAACACTATGAAAAGGAAGCCGAAGATGTAATAGAACTGGTTTAGCCATATCGATGTCAAGATGAAGAAGAGCTCAATAAAAACAGCCCCAAACGGAAGAATGCCTCCGATGAGTATTGAGAAGACTGGTTTCATATACCATGCCTGCTCGGCTATCTGCCTCGGAATTTTGTTGGTCTTCACAGGGTCTTCAATGGCTGGCTTTTTGAAACCTAAGTAACTGCCGACAAAGACCAAGGGAACTGATATACCGAACCATAAGCAAACAAGAGCAAACATTGTACCAAATGGCACTGCACCAGAAGATTGCTCTCCCCAAATTAGTGCATTCAGCACAAAGAATATGGCAAACAGGATACCCGGAAACATAAATGCTGTTTTCAAAGTAATTCTCTTCCACTCTGTGCCCTTGAACATTTTGTATAGACGAGCCGAAGAGTAACCGGCAAATATTCCCATGAAAACCCACAAGAGAACCATAGCAGTCATGAGCCCTCCACGATTAGAAGGAGATAAAAAGCCCAGCAACGCAAATATCATTGTCACGAGAGACATTGCAAAAATCTGGACACCTGTGCCAACGTAAACACAGAGTAAACCGTAATTGATTGGAGGCCTAAAGACATCCCCATGGACAAGTTTCCATCCCGTTTCTTCCTGAGCCTCATCTTGGGTTTCCAACTGATTATAGTTTGCAATATCTTTGTACAATGTTCTCATCATGATCATGGCCACCATGCCAGATAAGAAGAGAACAATCATCAACGAGTTTATGATGGAAAACCAGTGGATCTGATCATCATTCATCAGAAGGTATGTGTCCCAACGAGAAGCCCATTTGATATCACTCTCCTGAAGAAAAACCATAAATTAATCTATGCATTAGGATATGCAGCGGGAAAAATTATGACAAGAATGAGAACGGAAAAGCCTAAGTACCTTGAAAGTTACATCATATGTAAAAACAACTTCCTTGCCTACGTCAACTTCTTGCGGAACAGTGCTACCTTGAAATAGATTTTGGTGTCCTTATTGCATGTTGTTACCTGGGGATTCTTCTCATCCCATTCCTTGTATTCATGATTAATACTGTTTACAAGAGACGACGGATGAGTCATTTGATAAAAAATAGAAAATAACCATGATCCTAAAAGCGTTAGTTTCTAATGTTGCACGGTGAAGGCAAATTTCATTAAAATTTCACTCATTTTGAGTAGCATATTCAATGAACAATTAAATTTGCTATGTTAGAATCAAATTGAAGAGGATTGCATTGAAACAACTCTTAATGACTAAGTTATAATCAAATCCACAAAACCTAATTAAATGCTAAAACAAATGCAAATGAACAAAAAGGAAGTAAAAAGGAATTGATAGAAAACCTGTTTGGAGTAACCTCAAATCCAACAATTCGAGCAGCATCGGTCTCAGTATCCCTGTGAAACATAACCCTGAAGCTCAAGTGATTGTTGATAAAATACTTCTCCTCCTTGCTCTGCAATGACAAATGAACGGCTAAGAAAAGATAAGAAACACATAAATCTTTGAAAGCAACACTATCTTCCCAGAGCATCATACCCCAGCATAATTCCCTTTGAACCCAACACGGAAACCATGTTCATATGTTGTTGACTGACTCCCATCTCTCCTTTGTCTAAGTACTGCAACCGGAAGGTTGTCGAGAATCCTGTGCATCAACTCCATATAATATAGTATAAACATTCACCATATAATAATACGAGCAGTAAAAGAAGTGAAAACAATCATTAAAGAAATAAAGGCTAAAAATTACATAAAACATCTCCAAAAAGAAAAAGGAACAAGAAAATATGAATCCTAGGCATCACATTTAGTACTTACATATTAACTCGATATTCATCATCAATTTTTTCCTTGAAATTCTTTGCAGATTTGGCATCAAGTTTTTTTCGACAGGCTACTTTGCAAGGCTGATCCTCCCTCATTTCAAACTAAAGAAAAAAAATGATAAACATGAAATGTGATTGAAGATATAATCTATAGAACTTTTAATAGAAAACCACTTGTCACCGACAGCATATAAATACAAAAGGTACAGATGCTTACAGTGTAGACAGAATTCTCTATACGGTCACCACGTAACACCTCCCCTAAATTTTCAGCATTGTTCAGAATCTTGGGTGGTTTACAGTAGTTCAAGTAGTAATAGTCATATGGAAGTTGAGTCTTTGTAGATGACAATTTGTTCACTTTTACATAAAGGGGATCACCCTGTTCAGAATCAGAAAAAGGACAATCTAAGACTTAATACAAATACAATCATACAAATAATAACAATAAAGGAGATAAAAGCCATGACAAAAAGATCTTGAACAAAATTCAGAATCAGAATAATATCATCTGAATATTCTCTCCACCAATCCCTTGCCTTCAAATTAGGAAACGGAAAAATATTTTCAAGAAAGTAACATGTGCCCTTGAGGACCCTAAAGAGAAATGCAAAACAGCATTGCATACTTACCAACATCAGATCATACAAACAAATAGCCCGGGTGCCACATAAAAATTAACACCGAGTATGCTTTTATGATTTTAACTCTATAGTCAATGATCTCTTGAAACTTGGAAATTATTGTATTATCTTCATAGTTTTGGATGTTCATTGAATTTAAGGAAATAAATTGCAAGAAACACATCCTTAATTTCAGAAGATTTTAAGAAACAGAAAAAGTAAGATGCTGAGAAAGAATGAAGTAGCCTTAATTTCTTCACACC